TGTACATACAGATGTATAGAGAACAATTTCTCCATGTATATATTATACACATATATATTAATATGTATATGTGGATTTATAGGTATATAGATGCATGGATATATAGAAATATAGATGAATAGCCAAACTTGCACTGCTTATGGCATTATTTATTCTTCAAAGAGATAGGTTATCTTTGGGTTCTTTGTTTCCTCTTTTTAAACTTCCAACTGAACTTATTCTGCTGTTCCTAAATTCTGTCACTTGTATGTTACTTTTTCTGTCATTTACTTGGGTAGCTCTGACCTACACTTTTCTTTTCTTTGTTTTTTTAAAAAAAAGAGAGAAAAACCTGCTTTCTTTCTAGGGAAGCTCAAATCAAGCAACACTTATGCTACCAATATGTTTTCACCCCTCACAGGAGATGAAGGGAACACCCCAGACTATCAAAACCCAAGCCTGCACCAGTCACAGAGCCAGATGCTTGGGGCTGCTCCTTAATGCAGGGCCCCCAACACAAAATAAACAGAGCTCCTGCCCCCCAATAAAGGATTCTGTTGTCCAAGCTGAAACACAATTCAAACAAAAACTATCATTCTGGAATTTTAAAATTTCCTAACCAAATCAATTTGCTTTAAATTCTAAAGTATCATACCACATAGATAATAAATTAAGGCCAGGCATATTCTAACAGTCTTTCTTAGATGACATCTAAATCTCAGGGGCACCTCCCACTGCTTCCTGTTTGCTTTTCATGTGGGTCCCTAATTGTGAGTGGTTCCCAGCTGTACTGCCTCTGTTATTATTAGGGTTGTGATGATTATCATCATTTATTAGCACACTCCATTATTTTTCTTCTCAAAATGTGTCATTTGAGCATCGAGAACAATCACATATTGTGTGTTCTATGCTTTGGTTACTACTGCTGCATTCAGTCTTTCATTATCCCAAAGACGAGGTGTCTATTTCACTATTTTCATTCATTCTCCCATTTAGAGGAAGGAGGCCAGTCTAACAACCATTAAAACAACAGGCTAGGTGGAAAAAGAAGTAAATGCTGGAAGGGTCTTAGCAAACACAGGCATGAATTTGGCAGACGTGATATTTTAGATTGCTTAAGGCACAGGGCATACTTTCAAGAGCTCCTGAGGCAAAAGTGAAAGAAACCAATTTGGGGGTGGGGTGGAATCTGGTTCCATTGAAGTAAAAGAGAAAGACAAGGGAGATGAGAGAAGTGCTTTTCTGGAGCCACTTGATTTTGTACAGAGCAGCAAAATTATCTCCTCTTTGCACCTCCCCCACCACCATATGCTTCCTTAAAATTTCCTTTTTCCAAACTTGAAAGGACCAGAGTTTAATAGTATTCATGCATTTGAAATGCTAGGCTAGCGCACGCTTCCTCTGTTTCTGCATTTATCTTAAGAAGCAAGACCAAAAAAGCCAAATACATAAGATGAACACAAAAATCCAAGTTATGGTAAGGTGAACCAAAAATGAATAATGACTACAAGGAAATACAGTAACAGGTAGTTTAAAAAGAAAATGCAGTTGAGTTAAATCAGTTGAAATGTAGGATCACAGAGAGATATACAGAGACTACTAAATTACAGGCCAGTCGGCCTCAGAACCTTGGCTGAGAAAATACAGTAGATTTCACCAGAAAAACACTAAATCGTAGACACTCCAGGAGTCTGCATGACATTAACAGTTTAAATTTACTTTAGATGTCTAGAAATCAGACAGTTTGGTAAAAGTACAGGTATCCTTACAGAGGAACATAGGCAATCTAATAATACATATATTACTGCTGTGTGAGTGTCAGTTTGTATGTGAAAATCAGAGACGGTGTATTGCTGACACTAGGTAGAGAGTAACTCAGAGGCACCTGCCTGGGGATCTTGAGAGGAGATCCAGGGAGCTTGAGCAAACCAGGGATATAGCCAACCCATAATTCCCACTGAGAAAAGCCTGTTTAGAAACCTCTGACTCCTGACGATCTCCTACTGAAACTGCTTCAACCCTTTGGCTTTCTCCGGAGCAAACATTGGGGTGGGAAAAGATGAACAGTGGGCACCAGGGCACCAGGGAACCCGGTTATGACTCTTACCTTACTCTCCAAGGAGAACTATCTTCTCCCCATCTCTGAAAAGAAGATGCAGTGAACAGGCTTGGGAATAAGCAGACCTTTATAATAATCTCGCAACTGTCCAGTCTTGAAAATACCTTTGCTGTCTATTTCCTTACTCAAAAATCAAGTTTTAGATAGTTGTTTCGAGTTCTAAATTAGAAACAATGTGTGTAAAGAGACTGGCACACAGTAATCATCAATTAAGTATAATGCGATGTGGCAATTGTAACTGCAAAAAGCTAGATTAAGCAATGTCTGCTTCCACCGTTGAGTTTTGGTTCCAAGAATCCTCTCTGCCCAGGAAACTGATGATCACGCTGGACTGGCGTTTGCCCTCCCCACCTTCTTCACTTGCACAGCCTCACATCATGTGAGTCCCTGCCAGGTCTATCTTCTTACAACACAGGGAGAAAGTACCTGGCCCGGGGGAGAGATACAGCTCTGCACCCACTCAGCAGCAAAGGCCTGATCTGCAATTTTCAGTCCTTCCCCCCACCCCCACCCACTTTCAGGCCATTCCTAACAGCCATGGAGGTTTCTGTGCCCACAGTACCCCCTGATGGCTGACACAGGGAACTTTCTTTCCCCAAAGATTCCTATCTGTCTCAATGAGACTCCTCTTTTTCACAGACTGCACTGTTGATTTTATCGTGAACCATTAATGAATGGTCCCAAACATTCTGCAGCCGTCCTCACCTTGCTTTTTAAAAAATTCTTGCTCAAATATTTCAGAGACATCCATTGATTCCTTTCTTTCCCTCACGTTTTTTCCATACATGAACAAATGAATCTTCAAATTACTGTGATTATATTATGGTTGGAAGTGAAATCATAGAATGTATCTGTCTTCAGGGGGGAAAAATATCCCATGTATTTCAAAGCAAGATGTAGTGTAAACCCAGAAACATTAGTCTCTAAAGCCTTTTGAGAATTCAGCCATCTTCTTCAGGACCTGCACAAAAGTGGCCATCTCTTCCCTCATCTTTCTCCAAAGTAACACTGATCTTTTCTGGATTATAGTCCTGTTTATTTAATTGCCAACACTATATTAGTTTGGATGATACTGTTTACTACAAGTACAATCCTGTTACAGTAAGGGTTAAGTGCATTCCTGTGGGTTACTCTGCAAATGAAAGTACAATCTGTCAGTTAGTTCTCTATGGGAAAGTGAATTCAAAGCTCCAAGCAAGTGTTTTAGAATGAACCCTGGAAAACATTACCTATTGTAATTTAACACTGGAAAATTTTTATTGGGAGTGGTCAGTTTTTAAAACTTCATTTGGATGCCTGGGTTCTCTGATTTTTATCTACTAAGCCATGATGTCCCCTGGGGTTAGTGTTTATAAGGTATTCAGGTGTCACTTATCTGGATAAATACTGATTCTTTGTTTATCAAAGGAAAACTATGCTAACCAGATCCTGATTTGATGTGCTGTGGCATGTCTTAGAAGGTTCCAAGACTACATGCTGCTTCTTGGTGAAAACACTTTAAGCATTTCTCATGGATGCAAATTCAAGTAATACTAACAATTTGTGTTTTTGTGTGTCAATGTTTGAGTTTAAAATATTTTTTAAAATACAAATGTTTCAGACAAGAATGTTTACAATCGTATTAAATAATTAATTCTTCTGATATAGTAATTTTATTCTTAAACTAGAGGTCAACAACTAGAGGTCATCTTAAGTCTTGATAAAACAATTAATTAAAAGCTTTCTGTTACAAAAGAACAACAAAAAACTTAATTTTCCTTATTGTTAAATTTAAAACTAAATGCTGATAAAACATGAAATAGCTGGATCATTTAATGAAAGCACAAATAAACTATTGTAACCATATATACATAGGCAAGAAAAATAAAATTTTAAAATGCTTTTATAGAAGACTCTCCTAATTAGGTCATAATTTAAGGTATACTTGCATGGATTTTTTGAAATAATTTTCATACTCATAGAAAACCAAAATTATTTTTCTTTCAACATACAAATTAAAGGATCAACTTCATCCCAAGCAACTTCATCACAATCCTTTTGAAAATGGACATTTTACATCCATTCTAAACACACTAAAATAGCAAAAACACACGGTAATCAAGAATGATGTCATAAAATAGTTGTGCAGTACACTAAGTATTTTAAGTGATCAGCAAAGACTGTTAATTTGAGTTGACACATCCGTATCTTTCTGGAAAGAGGTATGTGCTTTCTGATAATACATGTCATTTGAATTCTTAAAGTTTTTGGTGCTACAGATTAAAAACATTCAGTGTTAGTGTTTTCAAAAGCATTACATTGAAATTATTTGCTCAGAACCCAAACAGAAAACACCAGAAGAAACATAACCAGACCGAATTGTTTAAAATGTATTTTCCCTTTAATTAAATAAGAAACATCTGTCTAGGGATTTTGGAAATGAATGTACTCCATCCACACTCTGCCTGTACTAGTTTGCATCCAACGTCCGATATTTTGAAAGAAAATTCTTTCTTCCTGTAAAGAATTAAATGCAACACAGAGTGAGAGATAAGTCTCCTGCACTACCTCTTGCCTCTGGAGTCTTGGAAGTGGAAATGTTAAGAAACTATCTTTTCACGCATCTCTCCCAGTGATGTGAAGTCAAGTTAGAACACAGAACTGTATTTTTCCAAAGCATGTCCTCATCCTCAAAAGCTCACCTCTGGTCATTAAGGAAAGAAGTTGCAAGGATGCCCCTAATCCTCAAAACGGAAATTCACTGCCCTTTCCCTGGGATTCATTAGACATTTTGACCCAGGGTGGAACCACCAGAACCTGTCACACAGACAGAAGGAGCACAAAGGAAGAGGGAGGTTGACTCCTGGATGGCTCAGGTTCTCTCAAATCAAGGCCAGAGTCCCCAGTGACAAACATCACTTACTGGTGGTGTCAAATGGTATCTGCTTGCACGGTGCAGACCCCTCGGCAGGCCAAGGACAGTAGTACACAGCACCCCCTTCCACGATATCCGGCTGGCTGGTGTTGGCTTTGGGCGCCCCCACCAAAACACTGGCTCTGTGAAAGAGTTGGCGAAAGTCACTCCTGGGCAAGGGGATCACAAAAGCGTGGGCGAGCAAAGCGGTCATGAGTAGGGGTTGGAGATAGACCATCAGACTTGGTGCGCCCTCGGGAAACCCAGCTCTTCTCTAGGTGGAGCTGTGTGCGTACCCTGAGATCAGAAGGAAGAGGACAGAGCCCAGCTGCTTGAAGCCCGCAGCGCTTGCGCCCAGACCCTGAATTGTTGCAGGCTCTGTGTAAACAGACCGCGCTGCGGTCAGTGCAGTAACTGGCTAGTCTGTAGAGTCCTCTCGTCTTCCTTTGTAAGATGCACAACCTTTGCCACTGGGAATTTTATGCGAGAGGCAGGTCTAGTTCAAAGTTCTTAAGTCACCTTCAGCTTGCACCAGGAGAGGTGAGGCTGGTGGTGCGCGTGGAGCAGGATGGGACCGCGCGTGGGCAGCGGGACAGGATCTCAGTCTGGGGGTGGGAGACCCGCGAGACAGCCTGCGCGTGGGAGTAGCGAGTGACTTACGTGCGAGCGTCAGGGAGGTGGAAGTCCACCGCGTAGCCGAAGTAGCTGCCCTCGGGACCGCTGTACACCGTGACCTCGTCCGCGTCCAGGTTGAACGCCTGCGACGCTGGGGACCACAGCATCCCCAGCGCCGCCCAGAAGCCCCAGAGGGGCGCGAGCGGCTGCGCCCGGCTGCCCCGTGGACCGCGGCGCGCCCCGGCAGACATCGCCCTGCGCCCCGGCGGCCGCCTGCGCGGTGACAGTCCCGCGTCTGGTCGCGCCTGCTGCCCAGGGCGGCTGGCGCTGCGGAGGGAGGGAAGCCGAGCACTACCACGGAGCGGGCGGGGACGGAATGTGGCAGCGCCTCCTGGCGGCCGGTCCGGGTTGGGGCTGCAGCGCGTCGTCTACTGCAGAGGCCGCTCAGCACCCTGAGTCATGCACGCAACCACCTCGAGCCATTGTTTTCAGAAACAAAGCCCCTCAGGTGGGGCAAGAGTTTGCTTGTTTCCCGCAGTTGCTCCCTCTGGATGAAGGAAAGGCAAAGGGTACCCTACCCCCACCCAGGTCCAGCAGGTACAGCTCTCCTCTTAACTTTGCCTAGGTAGCCTGTGGACCCTGTCTCTGGGACTGGGAGAGAAGTTGCCACGCAACAGTACCCTCCTTTCTCAGCTCTGCCCCACTTCTCCGCAGAGGTACCGAAATGACAAAGAAAGCTTTGAGATTTTATTGAGATTGCTCTCAAAGGCGTCTCCGGGCACTTACAATAACTTGGTAGTAAATTTTCTCCCCCCTGTGTGAGTGTGAAGGTTGACAAAGTTAGGGATGAGGCAGTGTACAAGTTATCCAAATCTGGAGTAGAAAGTGTAGGTTTTTTCCGAACTCCGGTATTAGTTACTGATCTCTTTCCATATCCCCTGCTTGAGGAGGGAGCGAGAAGCCAGCAGGAGAGGAAGAAGAGCAAAGCAAGCTTAAGGCCCTGGTGTGACACTCCTAGGCACACAGGCCGATGTTAGGACAGTGAGGGTCTGAGTTAAAGAAAAGTGAAGAGCAGAGCCAGGAGGAAGTCGTTTGCGAAGTGTTTAAAGATTTGGCGACAGATGCACATTTAGACGAGAATTTGAATGATTCAGTTAGATTTGGGCATTGTGGAAAGGGCAAGTGAGATAATACTAAAGACAGGGAGGCTGGGAGTAAATGGTTGTGCACAAGATTGAGATAAAAAGAGTGAGCTAAAAAAGGTTGGGAAATAGCGCTGGACAGATCTCCTGAGGCCAAGGATTCATGACCTAGATCTAACAAGAACATATACTGAAGCATAGGGAGATAGTTCTAGAGCAGAGACACAAGGTGTCCATGAGATTCCAGAAGTTTAGTGACAAGGATGTGTGTGTGTGTGGTGAGAGAGAAGCTTTTCCCCAGCTGCACGAAGAGATAAAGATCCCATCCTAGTTAACAGAAGGTTAACCCCAAAGCAGTTAACACAAATATTAAGGAAAAGGAAAAGGACCAGGCATAGATGACAGGGAAAAAGGATCCAAGGTGTGTCTGACAGTACCCTCTCAGAAGAAAAGAGTAACGAACAGTAGCAGAGAGGTAAGATGAACAGGTATGGGAAACAGATGTTGAGTCATTGCTAGAAATGAGTTACTGGTCTGAGATTCATGGCATCAGGGAACTGCAGTCAGGGAACTGTCAGTCCATTGATACGGATTTGAGAAACTATTTGAAGAAAAAAATCTCTGAGCCCACTGAAAAGCCAGATTTTCTCAGCTCCTTTTCATCAGAACCCACTTGACAGACTGATTTGAATATTCCATCTTTACCTGTCCTTGTCCCTGTAAAAATACCAAATATCAGTTGTTAGAAGAATCCCTGGCAAATTGCTACATCTGAATCATTTCCTAAATATATTTTCCTTTCTCAGATAAGGAATGAGGAGTAGATGATGGAAGTGCACTTCTGTTGGACACAGAGTACTACTCTGGTGAAGTTACTGTGCAAATAAAAAGTGATACTTTCCAAAGCAAATTTCAACGAGGAATTCATATGTAGCTTACACATGGGAATGTTCAAAGCCACTGTGGCCACCGAGATTAGAGAATAACCTCAACTTGTCCATTTCTTGACTGGTATGGTGAAATCTGTCGCAGTGCAGGCAAGCCTTAGGGTGATGTGCAGCATCTAAAGTAGTCAGAAGATAACAGCATGATCCTAGATTGCATCCGACTTGTGTACTGACTTCCTGGGCAGAACCAGCCCCATCATGCACAAAGTCTTGATTCATACAGGGCAGCACAGCACAGGGTGTCTCCTGCTGTACCCACTTGTTTTTATGTTCACCATAGTCTTCACTTTTCCATTCTTTTATTGAAGACAATGTAAGGGAAAAATGAGTTAATGTCACATATACGGATGTATTCTTGTTCCTTGCATCTAAAACTCACTTGCTCTTGACTTCCACAAGTCTGTCTTCCTAACAGTATCACTTTGCACTATGCAGATGAAAACTCAGATTAAGATTCAGGAAGTGCATGTACTTATGCATGTTCACAAAGTAAGTCAGTGGTAGGATTTGAACTAGACCTATCAGTTTCGAAAGCAAACTGATCTGCCAAAAGGTAGATTGTCAGTTTCTAAGGTAGAGAAGCTACCTTGGAAGAGGCAATCAGCTCTTTGGAACTGCCCCTGTGGGCGTGATACTTCAGTGATCACTTGTGAGTGATCACTTGAGTGATGCTTGTGAGGCTCCATATAACAGCTGTGTGCTCTTAGAAAAAAGTTTGACAACATCTTTGTATTAAAAGGATGGAGGGAAAGCAAACTAACTCAGAGCTCTTTGACCTTCCAGGAGGCCAAATGAGTGAAAGAGCAGTAAATCTTACAAAAAGCCAGGAAATAAAAAGAAAAGCCTTCCCTAACTGTAGGGAAAGGCTAAGTCCGAATAGGTGTCTTGTACTTTTCAGCATTCTGACATGTAGGAACCAAGCCAATCAGCAAGCTCTGGGGTATTGTAAAAGACATGCTTGGATAGTGACAGGTCTCGCGCTGAATGAGAAGTTTGACATTTTAAAGATCTACAGGCACGGATTTATTTGTCAGAAAAGCAAGTCTGGGAATTGTTTATCATGCATGAGAGTACATGTGTACATTTGATAGTGAGAAAGGTATACATAGTTGTTTCCCTAAAGAGAAAAGAACTCAAAGGTCAAAGATGGAACAGATTTGGCCCAAACATTCTAAAAATAAACAAGTAAAGAGTACCAGAGGAAAAAGTGATCTTGGAGTTGTAGGCATGTACGAAGTGCTTAAAAATAGAGATGCTGTGGCATTTAACCAGTTAGTGCAGAGTTCCAAATACACCCATAACTGAACAAGTGACTATCACTTCTGATTCTGTTCAAATCTATTTCTTTATGCGATGAAATGTGATCCATGAAATCAAGAAGTATTAGAGTCCTAACATGATTATTTCTTTAAAACAGGCACACTTTCAATATGCTGATGAAACCATTCATGAAGTAAGTCAATGTAAAAGCAACATGCACTTAATGGCTCTCTCATTTTCATGTGCAAATACTACATTTTCTTTATCCTTTCATCTGCTATTGTGCCATAAAGAAGGTTAAATATGACCATTTTAGGAAAATGGATGCTACATTTAAATATGATGATGTTGAATGAAATAAATCAGACGCACAAGCTTAAAGGTTGCCTGGTTTCTCTTCTATGAGAAGAAACCCAAAATATAAATAAAGAACAAAATAAAAGGTAGATAATAGGAATTAGAGAGATAGGTCTTTTTCAAATGGAAAGAAAACTAAGAAATGGAGGTGGGAGTAAGAAAAGGATGAAAAACAGAATTAAGATATGTTACATACATGTGCCTATTTCCCATGGTGAATGTAATCATTATATATTAAAAAGATGCGCTAATTTTAAAAAATGCACCAAAAAGAGAAAGTTGGTTTCCAGTCTCTTCTTGTAATTTGGTCAGTTGCACTGACTTCAGATTTTTCTTTTGCCCAATATTTCTCAGTTTTCCTGCAATGTTAAAAACAACCGATTAGCAGAAAGTGGCTGGTGAAGCCTACGAAGAGGAAACAACTTTGAAAGCCATCAAGTTCTCTGCTGACATCTGCTTATGTCTGTACATTTTCTATTCTGGTCCATGGAGGGTGAGTTTCATCATAGTCAAATCATTTTTTTCCTTTTTGATGATTTTTGTTTGTAATTCTCTTTTATGATTTTCCTTCATGATTTTATTAGCCACTTTTAAGTTAAAAGTGCTGCAGGGAGCAGTGTCGCCCCCATTGGCAGCAGTTCAAGCTCACGAGCAGTTCCTTTAGCAGAAGGAAAATTCCTGCTAGTCAGAACCAGACTCCAACTTGATCTCTTTTTAGAACAAGCCTCTAAAAACAGCCTTGTTCTGTACAAAAATAAAAATTGGTAAAACACTCTTTCCTCTAAAGGGAAGGTAACACAGAACATGCTCTTCCTTAGCACTGAGATCGGCGGACGAATTTTCTGAAGAAACCAAATCCTGAAGAAAGGCGAACTGACAGTCAGGATCTTGGAGGAGAATCATTTCACTCACAATTCTGAAACTCCTACTGATGGGATGGTGGGAAGGGCTCGTCTACTAATCATTGCCCAGAAGAACTACAGGGAGCGTGATGGGAGGGAATTCATAGCATCTTAGCTGTAAATTTGGATTCTCACAGTTAAGGGGTCTCATTCCCCCAACAGCTTGTGCTTGAATTCAATGCAAAATATGCCTTCAGGTCTCTGAATCTCCTTAATGTGGATATGAGGGCACTTAAAATGGGAACCATGGAATTCTCCCCACCGATGCCCACACTAAAGAGCAGAGGGCTTCATGGAACACAGTGCTGCAGGACCCGCAGGGATCCATAACAAGGACAGCAGCTCTGGACCTGAGTGTGTGTGTGCAGGTGTGGTGGGGAGACAGATGCTTCTTCAGGCAACTCTCAGGGGAGGTTAAAGGTATCAGGCAAGGTCTCCTACTTGAAGGAAGTCATCCAAGCGCAGAAACTGGTGAAGCCTGGTGCCTCAGGCAGAATGAATACAGGCACATTTGAAACCCTGGGAGAGGTTGCAGTGTTTATCTTGCCCTTAGAAAACACCAGAAAGGTGTCTATGACTGCCCTCTAGTGTTTGTGCTTCTCTGCAAGTATGGGTTTTTCCATGAGTAATAAAAGTCTTCCTGGTGAAAAATGATTTAGCTTCCTAATTATACAGATGGCCTCACAAATGGATTTTTAAAATATTGTTCACTAAAAAGTTTCCAACT